CTGTTGAGTTTTGTGTTGTGAAGTTTTCAAGTTTTGGGTAAAGATTTGATGGATTTTGGAATAAAGAGTGGCAAGAGCCTAAGATTGTGGATGCCCAAGTCACCCCAAGGTAAAATTCAAGGACAACCAAAACCCTAAGCTTGGGGATGCCCCAGAAGGCATCCCCTCTTCCGTCTTCGTCTATTGGTAACTTTATTTGAGGCTATATTTTTATTCACCACATGATATGTGTTTTGCTTGGAGCGTCTTGTATGATTTGAGTCTTTGCTTTCTAGTTTACCACAATCATCCTTGTTGTACACACCTTTTGTGAGAGACACACATGAATCAGAATTTATTAGAATACTCTATGTGCTTCACTTATATCTTTTGAGCTAGATAATTTTGCTCTAATGCTTCACTTATACCTTTTTAGAGCATGGTGGTGGTTTTATTTTGTAGAAATTATTGATCTCTCATGCTTCACTTATATTATTTTAAGAGTCTTTTAGGACAGCATGGTAATTTGCTTTGGTTATAAAATTAGTCCTAATATGATGGGCATCCAAGTTGGGTAAAATAAAAAATTTCATATAGACTGCATTAAATACTATGATAAATTTGATACTTGATAATTGTTTTGAGATATAAAGGTGATAATATTAGAGTCATGCTAGTTGGGTAATTATGAAATTGAGAAATACTTGTGTTAAACTTGGCAAGTCCCGTAACATGCACGTATGATGAACGTTGTGTGACAAATTTGAAGCATGGGGTGTTCTTTGATTGCCTTCCTTATGAGTGGAGGTCGGGATCGCGCGATGGTTAACTCCTACCAACCCTTACCCTAGGAACATGCGTAGTAGTACTTTGCTTCAAGGACTAATAAACTTTTGCAATAAGTATATGAGTTCTTTATGACTAATGTGAGTCCATGGATTATACACACTCTTACCCTTTCGCAATTTGCTAGCCTCTACGGTACCGTGCATTGCCCTTTCTCACCTTGAGAGTTGGTGCAAACTTCATCGGTGCATCCAAACCCCGTGATATAATACGCTCTATCACACATAAACCTCCTTATATCTTCCTCAAAACAGCCACCATACCTACCTATTATGGCATTTCCATAGCCATTCCGAGATATATTGACATGCAACTTTCCACCGTTCCGTTTATTATGACACGCTCCATCATTGTCATATTGTTTTGCATGATCATGTAGTTGACATCGTATTTTGTGGCAAGTCACCTTTATAATTCTTTCATACATGTCGCTCTTGATTCATTGCATATCCCGGTACACCGCCGGAGGCATTCACATAGAGTCATATTTTGTCCTAAGTATTGAGTTGTAATTCTTGAGTTGTAAATAAATAAAAGTGTGATAATTTTCATTATTAGAACATCGTCCCATGTTAGGAAAGGATGATGGAGACTATGATTCCCCCACAAGTCAAGATGAGACTCCGGATGAAATAAAAAAAAAGAAAAAAAAGGAAAAAAAGAGGCCAAAGAAGCCCAAATAAAAAAATGAGAGAAAAAGAGAGAAGGGACAAAGTTACTATCTTTTTTCTCTTGTGCTTCAAAATAGCACCATGATCTTCATGATAGAGAGTTTCTTATTTTGTCATCATATACTAGTGGGAATTTTTCATTATAAAACTTGGCTTGTATATTCCAGTGATGAGCTTCCTCAAAATGCCCTAGGTCTTCGTGAGCAGGCAAGTTGGATGCACACCCACTTAGTTTCTTTTTGATGAGCTTTCATACATTTATAGCTCTATTGCATCTGTTACATGACAATCCCTACTCCTCGTATTGACATCAATTGATGGGCATCTCCATAGCCCGTTGATTAGCCGCGTCAATGTGAGACTTTCTCCTTTTTTTGTTTTCTAACATAATCCCTATCATCATACTCTACTCATTCCATAGTGCTATGTCCATGGCTTACGCTCATGTATTGTGTGAGGGTTGAAAAGGCTGAAGCGCGTTAAAAAGTATGAACTAATTGCTTGGTTGAAACCGGGGTTGTGCATGATGGGAGCATTTTGTGTGACGAAAATAAAGCGTGGCCAAACTATATGATTTTGTAGCGATAAGCTTTCTTTGGCTATGTTATTTTGATAAGACATAAACTACTTGGTTAGCATGCCTGAAGTATTACTATTTTTATGTCAATATTAAACTTTTATCTTTTGGATCTGAACAATCATGCCACAATAAAGATAATTACATTGAAAATTATGTTAGGTAGCATTCCACATCAAAAATTTTGTTTTATCATTTACCTACTCGAGGACGAGCAGGAATTAAGCTTGGGGATGCTTGATACATTTCCAACGTATCTATAATTTTTGATTGTTTCATGCTATTATATTATCTGTTTTGGATGTTTAATGGGCTTTATTATGCATTTTATATTATTTTTGGGACTAACCTATTAACCGGAGACCTAGTGCAAATTGCTGTTTTTTTTGCCTATTTCAGTGTTTCGCAGAAAAGGAATATCAAACAAAGTCCAAATGGAATGAAACCTTCGGGAGAATCGTTTTCAAAACAAACGCAATCCAGAAGACTTGGAGTGGACGTCAAGGAAGCAACGAGGCGGCCACGAGGTAGGAGGGCGCGGCCAGGGGGGGTAGGCGCGCCCCCACCCTCGTGGGCCCCTCGTGGCTCCACCGACCTATTTATTTCGCCTATATATATTCATATACCCCGAAAACATACATGAGCACCACGAAATCCTATTTTCACCGTCGCAACCTTCTATACCCGTGAGATCCCATCTTGGGGCCTTTTCCAGCGCTCCGCCGGAGGGGGAATCGATCACGGAGGTCTTCTACATCAACACCATAGCCTCTCCATCGATGTGTGAGTAGTTTACCACACCTTCGAGTCCATAGTTATTAGCTAGATGGCTTCTTCTCTCTCCTTGATTCTTAATACAAAGTTCTCCTCGATCTTCTTGGAGATCTATACGATGTAATACTTTTTGCGGTGTGTTTGTCGAGATCCGATGAATTGTGGGTTTAGGATCAAGATTATCTGTGAACAATATTTGATTCTTCGCTGAATTCTTATATGTATGATTTGATATCTTTGCAAGTCTCTTCGAATTATCAGTTTAGTTTGGCCTACTAGATTGATCTTTCTTGCAACAGGAGAAGTGCTTAGCTTTGGGTTCAATCTTGCGGTGTCCTTTCCCAGTGACAGCAGGGGCAGCAAGGCACGTATTGTATTGTTGTCATCGAGGATAAAAAGATGGGGTTTATATCATATTGCTTGAGTTTATCCCTCTACATCATGTCATCTTGCTTAATGTGTTACTCTGTTCTTATGAACTTAATACTCTAGATGCGTACTGGATAGAGGTCGATGTGTGGAGTAACAGTAGTAGATGCAGAATCGTTTCGATCTACTTGTCACGGACGTGATGCCTATATACATGATCATACCTAGATATTCTCATAAATATGCGCTTTTCTATCAATTGCTCGATAGTAATTTGTTCACCCACCGTAAGATATGCTATCTTGAGAGAAGCCACTAGTGAAACCTATGGCCCCGGGGTCTTTTTTCCATCGTATTATATCTCTTTTATTAACAGTGCATCTTGTGTACTATTTTGCAATCTTTACTTTTCAATCTATACAACAAGAATACCAAAAATATTTATCTTATTATCTCTATCAGATCTCACTTTTGCAAGTGGCCGTGAAGGGATTGACAACCCCTTTATCGCGTTGGTTGCAAGGTTCTTATTTGTTTGTGCATGTACAAGGCGACTTGCATGTAACCTCGTACTGGATTGATACCTTGGTTCTAAAAAACTGAGAAAAATACTTATGCTACTTTGCTGCATCACCCTTTTCTGTTCAAGGGAAAACCAATGCAGGCTCAAGAGATAGCAATGGGCCAGGGGGCGAAGAGCAACGTTTCGTGTGTCCGGACTCCCGCAAACCTCTCTCACTTTTGTCTTCATTTTGCGAGAGAAATCATGTCCGAACGGCCGCGCGAACCGATACATGACCACGTTGGATGGCTTCCGCGGTCCGGACGGTTGCGAGAGGTTTACGGGTCCGCCTTAAAGATGTCCTAAGGGGACATACCACAATAATCTTGTATTTTTGTTCTATTCCTGCATTTTTTTTAATCCCACTAATCAAAGAAGCCCTAAATGACAAGGCACTCCAAATAGATGTTATGTATCACATTTTACACATGTAGAAGAGATGGTATCCCCACTATGAGCAGGATAGAACTTATACCAAAAAAATCACCATGATATTTTTGTTCAGGCAGCCAAATATGGCCAGGAAAATATCTCTTTATGATAAATAGATTTATTTTGCAAGTTCACTATTGTGAATAATTTCTAACACACTATGACTAAACAAAAGATGGTGATGTGCACATACCCTCAGACTTTTCACAACTAAAGCTGAAAAAAAAACTCAATCCACTCCTAACCATTATTTTAAACTTCAATCCACACAAGGGGTAGCTCTATCTGACATAGGCGAACACACACTTTCATAATCAATACATTTATCAAACTCAAAGTGGATCGACCCTAAAAAAATGCTCCCTTGCAACTGATTCTGAATTTTGTTAACCAAAGAGATAGACATGGGTTTTCCCCTCTTCCTCTATTCCAAGGAAGATACTCCACATTTTATCAAAAAAAAAAGGAGGATCCTCTACATTAATCTAGATAATTGCAATTCATTTTCTTCCGAAGGAAGAATTGGTATGAGCTTATTCATGCTGTGCATCAACAGCAACCACAAATAACACATTATCAGCACATGTGGCAAACTGATCGAACCATTGCAGATTTACAGTGTAGGAATGCCAACCATAAGATGCACACAGACGAAATTACCAGTTTGCTATTATTTGCAGTAAATTCATGGTGCATATACCATCCGACCAGAAAATCATGTCCTTGCAAAGCATTTCAACCGGGCCATTGTTACATTAAACTTCACAGTTTACATATTAGAGATGCCTTTTTAGGACGAAACAGCAGATGCCGAGGGTTCAGCCTCCCAGAACGATGTCTTCTTGCCTGTCTTCGAAACAGTCTGCAGAACAGCATCCGGCGTCACATTACCCTTCACAGTGACCTTCTGCTCCTTGATGTCTACATCGAAGGACTCAACACCTGAAGAAACCACAAAAGTCCGACGAATATGTTTAGATTCAACGCCTAAGACCTGTTTGTAATGTAACACTTCCCCTTTCCTGGGAAAGAATCAATGCTTGCACAAATGCATAAAGAATAGGATGCCTTGAAGAGCACTCAAACTCTCACAGAATTCATGGTTTTGAATACTCATTCACATGAGATAGCTCAATTCATACACAGCAATAAATAAATCACACAAAAGTGGCGGGAAATTTCCAAGCTCCAAATGGGCCATAACATACAATAATATATCAAAACGATAGGCCATTTCAACCAGGACACTAACATAGTGACATAGATACATGCAATCGTGTATATATTAATCAATCGAGCTATGCACAGTCAGATGCAGAAAGTATGAATTAACTGTCATCTAGGTTCATGATGGATATCATCATACCAATCTTAATATATCCAAGCTATTGCCATTGGACAAACAAAATATACCAGAGCTCTATACCAGGTTGTCTTTCAGCCATTGGACCTATCAAATGCTTTTGGAATCAAGTTTTATCCAAAGCATGTGTTCAAAAATAAAAAGGTTTATCCAAAGCATTCTGGTGCACCTGGTCAAAGTGGGAAACATAACAGTGCTTTGGGAAAGCCAGTGGATGCTAAATGGAAGCTCAATGACAAGATCCATTCAATCAAGCCATCTATTTGGCAACTGAAAAATGGGAAAGCATCTCAAGTGACCTCTAAGAATTGTCTGTTGAAGGCATTAGAAAATGTAAATACAATGATGTATCAATTCCAGTTGCATGGGTTTAAGTAAAACAAAACAGAAAGGAAAACCATATCAATAAATGGAGAGCTAAACCAACCTTCCATTTTGCCAAGAACCCGCTTAACAGCTCCAACACATCCCTCACATGACATGCCAACCCTGAGTTCAACAGTCTGCATCACAGAGTAAATCTTAATTCCAACAATTTCCACAGAACAACTATGAATTATTGCTTCCAGCTGAGAACGCATCAATAGAATGTCTCAGCCTATAGCACTTAATCACCATATAACATACTTCCATCGAATTATGTAATCATGACATTGTTCCAAGGAAACAGTCGAAACCATGCAGTTGCAAGTTAAATCGTTCAGTACAGGTGCACTGAATCTTTAGTAAGTACCTAACGGCTTGCTTAAGTGATGGGGATCAAAATTCTTTACTTAACCTCAAAATTCAACAAAGATCAGTGACCTTTTAATAGCTAATTGGTTCAATTTTTCATAGTGGTACAATCAAAAAACAGTTTGACTGACCAAACTACAAATATTTTATTTTGACTAATTAATTGGCCCCCAAAACTTTGTGAGCAGTCAAAATGTCTTATTTTGCACAATTGGGCAGGAGCTCTAGCAATCCCGCTACGGGCTACGCCCTGGCAATCGAGCAGGACCAGGTTCCCCCGAATCAACACTCTCGCTAGCAAAATCACGCAAAACCGCAAACAGCACAGTCGAGTCGCCAGTCACCCGCACGAACAGATCTGCTGGGCCACCAGACAGATCCCTTATATGAGATGCTAGGAAGGAACAGATCAAACTGCTTGGGATTCCAAACATCACCACTGCTCCGCGCTATTAGATGGGCGCCTAGCCAGCCTAGCAGATCTCGAGACGGAAATCGACGAGGTGCCGGGGAGGTACCTGAGACATTGCGTGCGAAATCGGTTGATCCGCGGACGGCGAGGGCGCAGAGGGATGGGGAAAGGAAAAGTTGGGTGTGAGGTCGGAGGGGTTGGACGACGACGACGGCTCGGGAAGGAACGGCCGGGAGAGGGGTCAATAAATACGCACAGAGGTCAGAGACGGTGGCGTCCAAGTGATTGCTTTGATTTTTGTGGCGAGGGTGGACGCGGTTTTCGTCTGGTTGACAGGTGGGGTTGCGGCGTAGCTTGCACGCTGTTAGACCACGACTGGGCCGAGATTGGTTCCCGAATCGCCAGCCGTGACGAACGATGTAGAGAGAGATCCGTGGGGAAGTCTCGCTGGCAGTGCCTGTTTTACCACCGTCATCAAGGATGTAAGTTTTCAAGGGAATATGGGTTCCGTATGGAGGTAATCTTCAAAGTTCGGTAAAGAAGAATGTTAGTGTACGGTATCTCGTTGACCCGCAAATTCGCTCCTGCATGAACAGAAGACCAGTCCGCAGACAAGGATACGGAAGCCGGCTATCTAAAGATATCTTGTATATGTCCCTAATAAAAGGCAATTTGATACACTCAAATACAGTCTGATCCATAGCGCGTGCCGGATCGCACCAGCACTAGATCACAACCAAAAATTAGGCAAGTATGCATAGTTTTTACATGCCCGATGACAAGAAAATATCAGTCCAATAGTTTGTGCATAGATTTTCTACGACGGGCAATCCGAGCTTCCACGCTCAAGGTGCCGCTGCCGCCGCCATGTAGGCAGCCTCCGGCTCCTTGTCCGGCGCCTCCAACTAATTTCCTGCCGCTACAACATCTTGTAGCGGACGACTTGCACGGTCAGTCTTGTGTCGACATCCAAAGACTTCAAATTCAAGGACAACATTTTAGTGTCGACCGCATCGTCTGCTTCTTTTCGAGCATGTCCTTCGCTTTGAGCTTGAGCTTCTTCTCGGGCACCTTCATCAACAAATTGAATCCCTCCGTTTTTTCCTCCTCCTTGATGTCGGAGTGCTTGACGTATGCCTCTTTGGACAAGATGCTCTTGAACAAGTCCGTCATCTTGGTCGCCGCACCTTCTCGCTTCACCCTCTCCCCCTCCCACTTGTTTCCCTGAAACCCTCTTCTAACCTTCTTGGGTGGTTCTTTTGTTGAGTCGGTTGGGTCACCAGATTCTTTCTCGGTGGCTTGGGTGGCGGTCTTGGCTATGTATAGGTTCCACTTCAGTTGCCAATTCAATCTCAACCAACAATGCATGAGGGTGAAGTTTTTCTTCTCAACCTTCTTGAACACCGTACACACACACGAGACTGCTACAAAATAAAACATTGTCAACAATGCATATCTGGTTGCACAACTATGCATATCCGTCTAGTGATCAACAAACCAATGCATATCTAGCCAGTGATCTATAAAAAATGCATATCCGGTTGCACAACTATGCATATTCGGCCAGTGATCAACAAAATTATGCATATCCGGCCAGTGATCAACAAAACTGTGCATATTCGCCCCATGATCAACAAAATTATGCATATCCGGCTACGAAACTAAGCATATCCTGCCAAATGAACTTACTTGCTCGGTGATTTGCGCAGCACTAGGCCACCATGCGATGAGATGCTTCAAGTGGCCGCAATACTTTGACACGGCCTCTTGGATGGTGTACCATCGATGGTTGAGGGATTTTGATTCATGGTTGTGGACGACCGCGTCGGAGTAGGAGGCGAAATGTTTGTGTTACCATGTGTGAATGTTGGCCCAAAAAAAGTTGTGTTATTTTGTTCTGTGCCATGGATCAGATCGAGGCTAGTGGGCAACATGCATGGCATAACAGCTCATCCTATCGCATGCTAAAGCTTTCTCCTCTACCCATCTTCTTCGGATCGCCGGCAAAATCATCCGGATCATCGTCCTCTCCGTCCTTCTCCTCATGTTATTGTTGTTGTCCGGCGGCCCAATCCTGCTGTTGTGTGCTTGACTGGGTGTAGCCCTGTTGAGTGTGGGTGTAGTTGTCGGACTTGGTGGGATCCGAGTCTTCAACTTGCCCGTCCTCATAGCCGCCTCCTCCTCTGCCTCTGTTGTGAATGATGACGAACATCTCCCTGTCGGCGGCGTCATACGCCGGTCCCCCCACCTTAGGCATAACAACAAACAGAGGGCAGGCACCCATTTGCTCCCCGCCCGCCGTCCACACCCAGACAAGCTGTAGTGTAGAACAATCTGTGTAACATCCCAAAATTCTAAATTTGGAATGTTATATTAATTAAGTAATGATGATTTCTTGTGTGATTTGTTGTGTGAAATTGAGTGGAATCTGAAGACTTTTTGAAAGTTAACTGAGAGGTAATAAAAGGACTTTCCCAAACTTTCCTTTCTTGCTTTGTGAAAGCACAAGTGCTCCCTCGGTGATTTTGGTAATTAATGTCAACATATCTCTTGTTGGACTAACATTTTCATCTAGTATATTTCAAAGAGTTCAAGAAAGGCGTGGCGTGGATAAGAGAATGTGGAACCCCTTCAAGATGGTAAGGACAAATATTGGCAAAAGCTCAAGACTCTTCATTTCTATTTTAGTGAACCAAGATCACATTGAGTCCATAGGAAAAGCCAATACTATTAAAAGGGGATGAGGTGTTGCTTAATGGTCTACTTGCTCAAAGTGCTTAGTGATATTGCTCCAAAACCCTCAACCACTTTCTCAATTCCAAATATGTCCAAAACCTAAAGTCAAACTCGGCCCAATTGATTTGTTTCATCCAACGCCACCGAGTTCATTGACATAGCCACTACCAGAAACCCTAATCAGTTCGATCTCACCGATAGGATCTCGGTCTCACCGAGATGGCCTTGCAAACTCTCTTTTGCCTGTTGCAATTATTCCGGTCTCACCGAGATGTGCAATCGGTCACATCGAGTTTGCCTGACCAACTCTCTATTTGCTCATTGCTGAAATCGGTCTCACCGAGTTCGTGCAATCGATCACACTGAGATGAGGTTTTGCCTTAACCCTGGCACATCGGGCCCACCGGGTTGATCATGTCGATCCCACCAAAAATCCTAACGTTCACATTTTGAACTAGATCGGTCCCATCGAGTTTATTTATTCGGTCTGACCGAGTGTGGTAAAATGTGTGTAACGGCTAGATTTTGTGTGGAGGCTATATATACCCCTCCACCCCCTTCTCCATTTGTGAGAGAGCCATCAAAACGTGCATACACTTCCACTACTTATTTTCTGAGAGAGAACCACCTACTCATGTGTTGAGACCAAGACATTCCAATCCAACCACAAGAATCTTGATCTCTAGCCTTCCCCAAGTTGCTTTTCACTCAAATCCTCCTTCCACCATATTCAAATCTATGTGAGAGAGTTGAGTGTTGGGGAGACTATCATTTGAAGCACAAGAGCAACGAGTTTATCATCAACACACCATCTATTACCTTTTGGAGAGTGGTGTCTCCTAGATTGGTTAGGTGTCACTTGGGAGCCTCCGTCAAGATTGTGGAGTTGAACCAAGGAGTTTGTAAGGGCAAGGAGATTGCCTACTTCGTGAAGATCTACCCAAATGAGGCAAGTCCTTTGCGGGCGATGGCCATGGTGGGATAGACAAGGTTGCTTCTTCGTGGACCCTTCGTGGGTGGAGCCCTCGGTGGACTCGCGCAACCATTACCCTTCATGGGTTGAAGTCTCCATCAACGTGGATGTACGATAGCACCACCTATCAGAACCACGCCAAAAATCTCCGTGTCTTCATTGCATTTGCACACCCCAATCCTATCCCTTTACTTTTCTTGCAAATTGCATGCTTTACTTTTCGCTACTCATATACTCTTGCCATGCTTGCTTGAAATGTATTGTGAATGCTTAAACTTTTGCTAAAACTCCACCTCAACTTGAAGAACTTAAAAGCTGCCACTTTTGCTAGTTGAGTGTCTAATCACCCCCCTCCATACACCTCTTCTCGATCCTTTCAATTGGTATAAGAGCATTGGTCTTCATTGCTTTGGTTTAATCACCATTGGAGGAGGATGGATGAGTCTACGATGGGGAGTTTTAGACGTAGAGTGCCCATGCTTGATGGAGAGTTCTATAATGCTTGCAAAGTGAGATGCTTGAGATTTTCAATGAATATCAATTGAACAAGTACATTACTAGCCCTTGTGCGCCCCTTATTGATCCATTGAATCCTACCTCCGATGAGTCTCTTGACATTATTCGCAATCTTAGAACTATCAATCTTATCAGTAGAGGATTGCCTAGAAATTTGATTGTATGCTTGCCTACTCTTGAATGTGCTTACACCATATGTAGATATCTTGAGGAATGCTTTCCGGACTATTCCTTGAAAAACTTAGATGATATTCTTCAAAAGTCCATTGCTTTAAATAAGATGAATCCTAACGATCCTAAGTTTGGTA